GACATCTTTGTTTCACAAGAGGTGGAAATGTTTGAATCTAATGAAAGAGGATGAACAAGATTTTATAACGTATGCAGCTAATGTGAACAAGCATTGTGAAGAATTCGAACTAGCAGAATTAAGCGCTGACAACTTTAAGTGCTTAGTATTCGTTCAAGGACTAGTTTCAGAAAGAGACGCAGAATTGAGGAAATTGGTACTTTCAAAATTGGAAAACGAACCGAGGATTTTGGTACAGAATTTGGCAGAAGACTACACAAGATATATTAGCATAAAGAAAGACTTGAAAAAGATAGAACAGTCTGGCATTTGACATGTAAGAAAAATACGCTACAAAAAAGAAAGTCAGTCTACCAAAAAGAATTCTAAAATTATGGATTATCAAACAAAAGTGAAATACCAGGAAAAAATAAACAAAAAACTCCCGAAGCCATGTTTTTGCTTGCGAAACTTCACTGGTACAGATATTGCAATTTTAGGAATAAAAATGTTTCAACTGTGAAAGAGTGGGTCATAAAAGCTTGCACTGCAGGTCAAAAAATAAAGACAATAAAATAAGAAAATTAAAGTCTGACGAAATGAACGATGGAATAACTAGAAAATTTGTTACTGTTGAAATAAGTAATAAAAAATAAAATAAAAATGCAACTCGACACTGGTTCTGACCTATCTATCATAAATTTGAATACGTGGAAGAAGTTGGGGAAACCAACTTTAATGAAAACAAATAAAATTGCGAGGTCAGTGACGAGAGAAAAAATACAATTTATTGGAGAATTTGTTACAAACGTCACGTTAAATAAAAACGCGAAAAGCTAAACTATTTGTCATAAAAAATACCACGAACTTACTTGGTACAGATTGGATAAAAGAATTTCAATTATGGGATTTACCAATAAATTCTTTCTGTTACAAGGTTGAAAATTTAAACTGCAAAGCCCAAAAATTAGTAAAAAAACTAAGGAGAACTTTTCCTACTGTTTTTTTCTCCAGGTTTGGGAACGTGTACCAAGATGGAGGCAAAATTACAGCCAAAACAAAACACTCAGGCGGTATTCAAAAAGAAAAGGAATGTGCTGTTTGTTTCAATTGTACAGATAGATAAAGAATTGGACAGATTAGAGAAAATTGATTTATTTAAAAATGTGGAATGGGTAACACCTACAATATATGTAAAAAACAAGCTTCAGAAAGTAAAAATGAAGCCGACACCGAAAAAAAAACTGAGGAACAAGTTACATGCAACCAAGGACATGCAGTATTATTAAATGATTTAAGTCAACAGGAAGAACCTACAGAAACTGAGTCCATCTTTAAGAAGTTCAAAGTGGAAGGTTGTTTCTGGTAACGCTTTGGAGATACATAAAAAAAAAAAAAAAAATAGAAAAGCGGATTGGCTATATGAGGTACTTGGTGAAAGGGGAAAAACTCACGTGCAGTAAACAGGTCAGACGACATTTTTCAGACATGGTTGACAGCAGTCCTGCGAGGAAAAGAGAAAAAAAAAAAAAAAAAAACGCTGATGGAGGTGATTTTTAATAAGTTTGATCTAACAACCCCTGCAAATAATTTTACCTAAGGTACACCGATCCAAAAGAAAAAGAAAGGCAACTGATCATTTAAAAGTGGGTAAAAAAAATGTAGGAAATAAGCTACGATGTTGCTAAAAAAAAAAAAATTTTTTTTAGTTGTTTTTTTTCTTCTTCATATTTTCTGTAAAAATTTGAAAAATAAATAAAGAAAACTTTTTACTCCTGCGCAGTAAAGTTTTAGTGGGGGATGTTATACCATAATATCTATTCTATTGTAATGTACTCTCCCACAGATAAGTAGTAGTAGCAGTGGCCAGTTTGGTTCAGTGGTGTTGAGTGAGTCAGACGATATCGGACATTGAAGTACCAACCATCACAACTAGATTGCTGCGTCATTAACTCTTATTTCCAAGTTCCTAACGTTTTGTACGTCGAACCTAATTTAGGACAACTTATTGAAATACAAGCCTCCACTGTGAAAACTACTCTACAACAATATCCCCTACCAACTCCAGATGATATATTAACCAAATTAAATGGTGGTAAATTTTTTTTTTTTTTTATTCAAAAATTGACCTGTCTGAGACATATTTTCAAATTGAAGTGGATGAGGAGTACCAGAAGTATTTGACTATTAATACACATTCCCTTTGGTTTTAAACTAACTCCATGAACAGAAATGTTAGTTCTTTATGAATAAGGTTAAATATTTAGGGCAGATAATCAGCGAAAAAGGAAGGAGAGATTCCGCAAGAGCAAGTGTCATTAAAGATATTCCTTCCTCAACAAATTTGGTGACCCTACAATCATTTCTTGGCTTAGCAAATTATTATAATATTTATGTGCCTGATGTGTACATATTGTGAGCACTTCTGAATAATTTATTTAAAAAGGGTATGAAATGGAATTGGTAAGCAGAATGTCAAAAAGCATTTGAAGAAATTTAAAAAAAAATAAAAAAAAATTACTAACTTCAGAGTCATCACTGACACATTATGACCCGCAGCGACAGATAATAGTCGTAGTGGACATGAGCGAATATGGCACAGGAGTGGTAATAAACCATAAATTTGAAGAGGGTACAGTGAAAGCAGTTGCCCACACTTCAAGAAGTTTGACAAATATGGAAAAATGCTACAGTCAAATTGCAAAATAAGTGCTTTTTTATTATAAATAAATTTCACAGGATGATATTAGGAAGAAAATTCATACTGCAAGGCGATCATCAGCCATTAAGTGTATTTGTTTCTAAGAAACAGATTACGGTGTTGGGCTATGATTTTATTGAACTAGATTGAATTTCTATAATCAAAAAAATTAGGACACACAGATGGCTTGTCCAGATTTTTATCTAAATATAAAGAATTTGAAGATACTGCGATTACTTTGCTGGAATCCGAAAGCGAAATTAAAAACCTGGTGTGTAACACTATTAAAAAGTTGTTGGTCACGATAGACTATATCAAAATTCATTCTAAAAAGGATACATTTATTCAAAAAACTATGAATGATGTTAAGTTGAAATGGAATAAAACTAAAATTGAACCTGTTAACAATAATACAATGTTTTGTTTTTGATGGAGTATTTTGTACATGGAAAGAATAGTAATTCTGTTATTGGTGCAAAAAAAGTATTTTGCAACAATTCCACGTAGGACATTCGGGGAATAATGAGGATGAAATCCCTGATGAAAAGCTACATCTATTGGCTAAAGTTGGATATTCAAAATACAGTTGTAATTCAGCAGCAAATTTACCACCTATGAATTATCAGACATGTTCTAACACTGATAAACCATGGTCAAGATTACATATGTACTTTGCTGGACCACTAAATTATTTAATTGTAGTCAACAATTTCACAAAATGGCCTGAGATATTAAGGTGTAAATGACCTACTACTGCAATAAGGATTAAATTTTTGCAAGCTTTGGAGTACCTGACTCAATTTACTTCTAGTGAGTTTAAAAATTTTTGCAAAACTATGTGGTTGAACATTTGACAATGTTGATTTATCATCTGAGGTAGAATTGTCAAGCTGACTGTTTTTTTTTTTTATTCTTTCAGAAGGGCATTAAGAAAACCTAAATGCTTGGAAGCTTGAAGAAATAGCACAACAAGAATTTTTGAGTGTATATCAAATGATGTCAAATGCAAATATCACTGCAAAGCTCATGTTTGCTAGGAAAGTTAGATCCATTTATGACAAATTACTGCTAGAAAAGATAATTTGGCAATTTGAAACTACCAGATCATTTAAGATTGTCAATAAAATCTTCTTTAAACTCTTTAAGGCTGGAAGAAAACTTATTAGACTATTCTATATCTATATATAATGTATATATGTGTTATTTTCAGTGAATACTCATATTTGTGTAGACACTCATTTATTTATTAATCAGTATATTTTATTTACTTTTGTCTACTGGCCTGAATATTCAAGAAATCTTATTAAAGAAAAATATGTGCTCTCTGGCAGGATTTGGACTTGTTTCCCCTCTGGGCAGAGGGAAATTCTTGTTAGATCCAATGTACCTTAACTGTCTCAGCCATGGAGCAGCCTCGATGATCAAGCTAAGTTTGACGTGTACCTTTTAAGTAAAATTCTTGTATGAAATTGCTTGAAATTTTCATATCTGTTCAGTTTTGTATTCAAACGTAATTTTCTAAAGTAAGGAATTTTATTTATCAATCCAATAGATTTTTATCACTTTAAATGTTATTTTTAGTGGATACTCATATTTGAGTAAATACTCCATTTATTTATTAAACAGCATATTTTTCTTTAATAAAATTTCTGGAATATTCAGGCCAGTAGACGAAAATAAATAAATATGCTTGAAAACTTAAATGTGTGCAGGCCAGTAGACAAAATAAACACTGTTTAAAATACAGAGTCTACTTAACTACTTTTGACATAACAAAAGTGTCAGATGAAAGCATAAAATCCATTTTCATATATATATATATATATATATAGTGTGTGTGTATGTATGTATTCTATTTATACGTTATTTTTATAGATACAATTATTTAAGTAAATTCTCTGTTTATAATAAAAAGTATTAACAACATTTACTGGCCTGAATGTTTGAGAAATTATGTAGAAAATATGTATCCTCTGACAGGAATCAAACCCGTGTCCTACACAGAACCGTTATTTAGCCTGACATGCTATATCATTTAGCTACAGAGGAAGCATCTGATTAGCAAAGTCAAATTACTGCTTTTAAACAACAAATTTCCCATGATTTTTCTTGAATGATCATGTCTGCTCAAAGCGTATCTTAACATAAACAGATGACAACATATATATGAAATGGACTAAGTCCATTTTATAATATATATATATATATATATATATATATATATATATATATATATTTGTGTTTGATTATTTAATTGCAAAGATGATTGATGAAATATGGGTCTTGTTTATATGCTTAATTTTTCATTATTTTATTTCAGGTGTGTTGGGCGACAGCAGTGCCTGTTCCAGCAGCCACTCTCCCTCATTAAAATGAGGTCGGTATTTTATTTATAAAGCTTTCCACTTTTTAATTGTAATTGCTTTCCATAAACAACTTTATTTGAATGATTTTTTTTTTAACTATTAAAAAAGGTCTTTCTTGAAATAAGGGAATTATATTTCAATATGAAAAAGAGAAAAAAGGTTCAGTAAAACTGATTGAGTTGGGTTTTCCATAAAATTGTGGAATCAATTGTAACTGTACAATTTGCAATGAAATAAGCTTTATTTTTATTTTTACTTTTTTTTGTCTTGATTCTCTTCACTTAAATAAGGAACAAGAATATTTATTTTTTATTTATTTACTTTTTAATATTTTTTTTCTATTTTGAATTATTGGAAAAGAAATGACAAATTCTCCTTTTAGACACTTTCTTGAATAAATTTAAATACACTTCATGTTATTGTCAAATAAAATAAAACTCTTTTACCAGGCATCCTTTGATGTTGACAATAGAATACTATTTTCATAATTGTTTATCAGAGTATAAAACGGAATTTGCGACAAACAAATAAAGGAAACTTACACATTTGTACCATAAAGAGTCACTCTGGTTAGTGGTCATTTATATCTATTTATTGATAAAACAGTACAAAAGAATAGCTGGAAAAAAAAATTAGAAAAAATTATTAAAATAATAGAAGAATAATAATAAAAAAAATTTCCCTCCCTAGAAATTACATGTTTATTTTTATTTATTTTTTTTTTTTAATACACAGATTCTGTTTTTACTAAACTAGAAAAAAATTAAAGAAGCACACTTTCTCACACATCTATCCACTTTATCTGTTGTGAAGAGTTAGATCTGTGTGTAGCATTAATGGTTATCAATACAGGAAATGGAATAGCAAGTTATGTCTGAATTTCAGCTTAATCTGTTACATTCACTTTTGCATAAATGCCTTTGGCAAGGCATGAATTCATTTTTTCCTCTACATCCAGTTATGTTTTAAATAACAGGATAGATTGATTTCTCTAGCCTTGGTTGGTAGCTAGACTAGCAGAAAGTTTTCAAAGAAGTTCTAGTAATTCACAGGAATCCGTGGAGAGCCATGATTGTCTACATCTTGAAATCACACGGCATTTTAGTTCTGAAGAAACAGATTTTTATCTAAATATTAGTAAATCTAACATAAGGTCATCATCATGTCTAATAAGTCTGGACATTAAAGGTTGTCTAAAAATCTGCTTGTTCACTTTAATTCTGACAAGATTAGAATAAAATCATTGTCAATTATGGGATGGGATATTATTCCGGGACTAGTATCCTTGTTATTTTCATTGCAGTGTTTTGGCATACACCTGAAGAAGGCCGGAGAGTGCATTGGCTGAAATGTGGTGAAAACAACAAAGATAAAGATAGCATTGTTAATTTTTAGTTCTTCAGCATAAACACTTGAAGCAATCTGGACCAGAGAAAAGACTTTACAGCACCATGCCCTTGCTATTGCTATGCCCGTCAATAAATAAATTGAACTTATGTCTTTACAAAACTTACATTGACGTGTGTGTGAATGGATGATGAGACAGTGGCATATTTATAAACAATGCGTTTTCCTGAGAACATCTGTTCTCTTTGGCTTCCCCAGGTTAAAATGAAAGAAAGCCAAAACTGTATGTTAGGAAGAATGCATTGGAATATCTGAGAATAAATGAGAACAATAAATCAAATTTGATTACTTTATCACATCCAATGTCCAGATTCAAGAGTGTCTGCCCACCTGTTTGTTATATTTATTTATATATTAGAACTATTTGGTGTCTGCTGGATTTTAAATCAGTCCACCGAAACTAGTGTTTTTTTATGTATATACCTGTATATATGTGCATATACATATATTAGTTTTTTAATTGTACATATATACATGCTCACTCATATATATATATATATATATATATATATATATATGAATGTGTGAGTATATTATATACAAGTATACATAAAACAAACAAACAAGAGGCTCTAATATATGTATGTGCCTGCATGTTGTGTAATTATATGCAAGTATATACACAAAAAATTTTGATATTGTGACATTTTAGGCTATGTTTGAAGAGCTAGCATTACTAAGATTTATTTTGATATTGTGACTTTTTGGACTGTGTTGGAAGAGGTAGACTTATTAAATTTTGAATTTATGGTCTCCACTTATCCTCAAAAACCAAAATAATTTCCTTACATACAGTTTTATCTTTCATTTTAACCTGAGGAAGCCATAAAGAGTAGATGCTCTTGGTAAAACACGTTTATAAATTTTCTACTTTTCTCTCTTCACTTTTGTTTTGGATACTATTATACATCCTACACACACACACACACACACACACACACGTTTTCAAGGCAGCTTGAAATGTTGTCTCCTAGCATTTGTGCTATAAACTAACTAGCATTTAATATTTCTAAACTGTTATAGACATCTAATAGTGTACATGACCTGTTTTGAGAAGTATATATACTATTATATTGTGTGCTGGAGATGTCATTTAATTTAGTTTGGACTACACAGTATTCAGTCAAAACCAAAATGGAGGTGCTCATGAGAAATTTTTGTCAGTAGCTTTATAGTCAATTATTTCCAGTAAATAGCAGTTTTCTGTTTTCTGCCAAACAGGCCAGCAGAGTTAGGTAACAATGCAGCAGTGAAAGTGTTAATTATTGCCATTCCCCCCACCCAGTTTGGTATTTAGATTTTATTGTATTCAGTGACTTTTTTTTTTTTTTTTTTAATGAAGCAGATCATAGTCATTTGGTATAGTGATTTTCTAAGCATACCTTAGATGTGGCACAAGGCTGAAAGTATGGAGGATTGAACTTTCTCATGATCATTTGGTATGGTTGGAAAACCATTTCTGTTACTATTTCCCATTGGAATTAGACAATCAATTTAGATGCATAAACTAGTCTACATGGAAATGAAGCAAGTGAAATATCTTACAGAATTAAATTTTCAAGAAATAAAATTACTTGAATGCATTTTGGTTTGGTGTTAAGCTAAATTCCAACAAATGAAGATAGATTTCTGGGATGAGCAGTTGTTATTTACACTCGGACTATTCTCCTAATCTTTGTTATTATCACTGTTTCAGGCATTATGCACTCTGACATTAACAAAGATTGGGACATTAATCAAACTGTATATAATGTAAATAACTGAAGCATGTCAATTTGGTGATTTATTGTGAAGCAAATTCTTATTGTCATATTCTTAGTTTTTCAATGTTTGAATTCCGTGAGAAAATACAAATGTTCAAATCTCTCCACTTACACATTTTAAACATCCTATTATAATTCTGCCCCTCCCATAGCTACTTAGCATGCTACACCCAGTCATTATCTCATAAATAATGGACTATTCTGTTTTGATTATGTGTAAAGATAGAAAAGAGACCTATCAGAGATCCTACTTGGTTTCAGTGATAAAATGAAATAAAAAAAGAAGGTAAGATAGAAGTGGTTAACATCCATTTCATTGAAGTGGAAAAAGTTGTCAATTTTAAATCTTTACATTTGTGTCCCTTTACTACTTTAAATAATGTGTGTCACCAAGGTGTTGACCCATGGTCAACTCCCAGTTGCGGCGCGAAGCTGTAAGGTTTCTTCTACCAGCGTTTTGGGGTTGACTCTTTGTCGCTGCCACCGGCCTGTGTCCCGGTCATTCGGTGGTCGTCGCTTCTCGGCGAAATCCCCTGGTCAGGAAATCAATATGTGACACTCAGCCATCCAGGGTTGAATCCAGTGGTTATGGCACTAATATGTGGCACCAGGGTCGAGTTCTGGTCATCAATGTTAACAGCTTCACCAGTTGTACCAGTTCAATGCTAACTCTATTGTTCACAGCTTGCAACGTCTGGTTACTGGAGTAACTGCTTTGATCTCAAATCTAACCTACCCACATTGTGACTTTGATCTTGGGTAGATAAGATCAATCAGGTGTCGGGCCTTAGTGTCAGCTGAGTTCAAATTGAAGGTGGCGTTGCGCAAAGAAAGAAAAAAATAAATGAAAGAAAAACCCAAGGGGTCCAAGTATGTTTAAGAAATAATAATTCAACTTTATCCTTCTGTTGTATACAAGAGCGTGTTTTTCTCCCAGCCTGTTTCCTACGAAATGTGACACACTTCTATGTTTCAAGCAAGTTGATATCGCAAGTCAACTAATTTAGTTTTTAAGTGCTAGCTTAATTTCGTTTGTCAGTATAACTTGCTATCGGTAACATCGGCGAAGTTGGAGGTCATGGAATCTCTTGGTCATCTTCTGCAAGGCAACTCCCTGGTTCAAAACCAACTCAACTCAACTGCAACTTCTCCAACTCTGCAACTCAACTGTTTGTATGGGTACTGACCAAAATCTGGTGTGTGGGCCCGACGCAGCCTGGGTTTCTCTGTAATCTCTATTTCTAACAAGAAATCTTTGTTCTCAGGACAGGAAAATTGATTATTTCCTATTTTTGGAAAATTAAACATTAAACACTTCCCATTTCGGGGTGGTCTCTTGTTCGTGAGGGAAGGTTGGAGGAGAGCTATCCTCCTAGACTCTTTCTCACATTGATATCTCATACTAATCCCTTCAGTGGGTGTTAACATCTCTGCCTTTCTTATCCATTCATCTCTGCCCATCACCATGCTACCATACAACCAATGATCTCTCGGCAGTGAGGGTGTGGCTAAGCTGGCCTCCGTAAAATATTAATCTAGAATTTTTTGTTTACAAAATTCTTTTATCACATGTTCTCTTTTTCCTGGGCCACCCAGCACTCTTACCGTCTCATTAATCACTGTCAAAGTTTGCCATCTGGTTCTTTACGCTGTTAGCTTTATCATGAATCCTTGACTTGTTAAGAAAATTAAATTGTTTTTTATCTCGTCAAATCTCAATTCTCCACTATTTTCTGGGGACTGCTAAAAGTTTACAATTGTCACATTGCCATTCGTTGTCTTAGTGTCTGTTGGCAAAATAAATGATAACAATCCTCTCACCTATATCCAGATAATGCCAAAATTTTATTGCCTCGTTGCTTCTCTTCGCCTGTATCCAAGAAAAGAAAAATGATATCTTGGAAAGATAATTAACATTGAATCTTCCTGCCTGTATCGGCACGTGTTTTGGCCGATAATTCTATATTTGCCTTTCTTTCTATCTCCCTCAGCGATAACTTGACAGGACAAGACCTCACACATGGCTTCTTCTGCGGGCTATTTTTGTAAATAAATTAAAATCTTTTCTTTTAACGTCAATAAGTCTATCTTTCATCATAGCTCTTTTTTTCCGCTTTAAGAATGTCTATTTTCTGTTTTAATTTCTATGGTTAATTAGTTAGCCAATTACTATAGCTAAATAGTATCACAATGACCAACATTCATTTTTTTTTTCTTTTTATCATTTCACTCCAAGCATGTCAATAAACCCACTAAGTGTTAGAGAATATGAGAAAAAAACTAAAACACTATTAAGGGGAGAGAACAATAAAAGAATAAGAAAACAGAATATAATGACATTGCATTAAAATTTTTGAAGATCAAAGTTAAGAGTTCCACAAGCAAGAAGTCTGATAGAAGAAACTGTTAACATTGAATTTACAGTTAAATCTATCTGCATTTGAATTGTAAAATGAGACCAATGCCACCATTCTAGTATTGAAATACATAAAGTCTAGGTACCATAGCAGAGAGTTCCTCTTAACAATTACCATGAAAGTACTTCTAGAAAAGGTGCTGGGAATTTATCTTATGGTGGTGGGGAAAATTCTTATTGAAATATTTGTTAAGCTCAAATATTTAGTGATGCAATAGGGGAATTTCTATGGTTATTTTATTGTTGTAAAACTCACTATGAACTTATTCAGTCATTAAGATTCATCAGAAAATTTAAATAAGAAAACTGATATTTTTATATGGATTTCTAGTTATTCTAAATTGTTAGTATTATTTATGTCTTTTGATATTGTATTTAAATTCTAGCTCCATTAAACAACCCATGTGGTCATAAGTTGTCATTGAAATAAGCAAAATAGTTATTTCATACTCAGTTATATAAATATATATATTATTGACTAATATTATAATCTTTTTGTTATATGGGCACATAGCTGAGTGGTTACATTTGCATTCTGGCCATGAGGCCCATGTTCGAATCTCACTATAGTCGATTTGTCAGGAAGGAGACTTTCTGATGCTATCAGACTGGAGGGATTGATCCCAGTATGTGGCACAAAGTGCCTCAAAACCATGCCATGGGTTGACCCAAGCCTTGTGAGTGAAATTTGGTAGATGGAACACTTGGGGGCTGTTGGTAGCTGTGTTAGCACAAAGTCACAAGTCATTGTGGCTGAGGGCTTGAACATGCTGGCCTTGTTCAAATTGTTGATCATGCTAGATAATGCACTCTTTCCCAGAAACTGTAACTAAGGCCTGCACAGTATAGTTGCAGTATAAACCACAGGTGGGATCTGTGGGTGTTGAATAAACACAAATGTGCCTGAGCAAGCATCTGCAATAGGGATTTGCTAGCAGCCCAAGTAGATAGGTATCCTTGAATGAGTGGCCAGCTATGCATACATAATCTTTTTGTTGTTTTTATCACAGTATTTGAAACTAATATTGTTTGACATTTAAATTAAATTCCAGTACAAAGAACTCTTGTTGACTTAATGGCTTTAATGACCAGCGGGGTATTAGACATTGTTAGGTAAAAACAAAGGCAGATTAAAGAAAGACCTCTAAAGTGGTATGGATGTTAATACATAACATAGCAAGCTCCTGTGGCATGGGATGTGATTTTACTTCTGATTCAACATTAGTTTGATTTTAAATTCTTGTAATTTGAAGGCTCAAGAATACATTGGCTGAAATGGTGTGATAAAAACACAAATAATGGAACTAGTCTGATACATATTAATTAAAAAAATTTAATTTTCAATAATTTAATCTCTGTGTATTGTATGAACACAGTAACATTGTCTTCTTTGCTTTAAGACTTGCATATTTCCAGTGATAACATGTTCATTTTGCGTGTTGGATTTTGTTATGGGGGAAATAAATCATTCTGTGTTCATTTTTAGGGAAATCTTTCAGCAATAAAAACCTGTTTAGTTAAAAGGAAAAAAAAATGATTTTACTTGCTTTCAGTAATGGAGAACTATTTTATGTTTTAAATTTCTTTTTCTTTCAGATTCTCTCACTTCTTTTTAAACTTTTTTTTTCATATTTTATTTAGGTGTATGTTTCTGCTCTCCTTGCAGAATTTCTGACCCTCAAAGCTCCCTGTCTGCTGATGAGATGATTGTCTTAATTTCTTTTGGTCAGACTTGCTATCATTTTCTTTTGTAGGGTCCCAGTTGTTACGGCTTCTACTTCTGAAAGATCATACGATGACATGCGTAAATTCTGGGATAAAAACAAACGATTAGAAAGACCACTCTCTCCACACCTTACAATTTACAGGTAAAGCATAAAATTGCATTGTAAGTCCACCCCCGCTTTTTTTTTTTTTCCTTTTTAAATATACCTGATTTTTGGTTTTGGCTTTTATATGACTTAATTTTTATATATTTACATTAGTAGAGATAAGGATTTATTTATTTTTTTTTTTTTTTTTTCTAAAAAGTAAATATTTCTATTGTAATGCCTGCTTTTGAGAATATTTAAAAAAGTTATTAAAAATAAGTTGCTATGGAAAAATTCTCACATCCTAATGCACAGCTATCTTTTTTTTCCCCAGTTATATGTAATATTTTGTATTATTTAACTTTCCTATGAGTTATTAGAGCAAATGAATTATTATTAAGCTGAATTTCTTGACATTTAAATAAATTCTCTTCTTCAGGCCTCAGCTGACCTCTATACTTTCTCTGGCCCATCGAGCAACTGGCATTGCCATGTCTGCAAGTAAGTAACAACAATACTGCTGGTTGTCCAATTTTTTTGTCTGAATATTTGAAAATAATTTTAACTTTTGGCCTTTTGCTTCTTAACTGAATTCACCTTGTAATTGTTTTTGAAATATAAAGGATTTTTTTTTCTCTCAAGTATTTTTATTTATTTATTTTTCTTATAAAATAATAATAATCTTTGAAGCCAAGAACTTTTTACCACATTTTATTAAAAAAAAAAACATGGTGCAAGTAAACATTTTTCTATTTTTTTTTTTTTTTTCTTCTTAACAGTAAACTAAACTGAATCTTATTTAATGCACTTTTAGAGTTTTAATATTGAATTTGAAAACTTTCACATATTTGTCTACCTATTGTTTGTATTTTTCTGTTTACAGCTGTGACGGCTTTGGCAATTGCATTTTTGGGATTACCACATGACTTTACTCATTATGCAAACTTCATCCAGGATATGAACCTGCCTCCTTATGTGATTAATGGGGCTAAATATATGGCTGTTTTCCCCTTTATATATCACACAGCCAATGGTATCAGACACTTGGTAAGCAAACTTTTCGTACTTTTCATCTCTACTTCCGTAATGCACAGTTATTCACCTACAGTTTTTGTCTTGTTTCTAATGTAATTGTTGTCACACATAAGAGAAACACAAGATTGAATCTCACATAGGTAACATGACATTTTGAACTTTGTCAGTTACACTCAGCCAGTGTGTGTGTGTGTCCTTGGCCCTCAACTGAACACGGACTTTGTTCTTGTGGGCAATATCTGAGTGAGAATGCCCTCTTACTGTTGGGATGAGTGTTTATTCAGTCAGATACTTCTGCTATGTATCTAGTGATTCTTGACAAAATCCAAATAACAATTCGCAATATTATTGGTCTCAATCTTGCATTTCAGCTTCAATCACTTTCCAACAGTCATAAAATTGCCTCTTCTATAAATATTTTCATAGCAGTTGTTCTGATCAGCTTTTCTCTTTAGTACTTTGACTTCATGAATTTAAGTACAGTACTAGATTGGCAGCTAGGTCTCATCATTTTACTTATGAAATTGATAAATGTAACTAAGTTTTGTTTTAATAGTTTCTTCACTCCTGTGAAACTCTTTTAGCTTCTTGCTTTCCTATTAAATTCAATCCTATCCGTTTTATTGTCCTTTCTTCTCCATAATGTTTTCTCAATTTCCTTCACTCTTAATTACCCTTGTTTTAATTGCGATGCTTGGAGTGAAATGATTAACAAAAAAAAAAAAAAAAATCTGTCATCTTGTTCTTTACCATGTGTGCCCATCATGTGTTCACATATTGGTGGCCAGGTCATTTGTCAAGCCAAACTATTGATGTGCCTGGTTTCTCTGACTTCACACAGAATGCAAAGCGTATTCTGATGATCTAGGATGAGTCACAGACTACACTAAATTCTTAACCTTGTCACCTTTGAATTTTTGGGAGGCCAATTTCAATAATTTTTGGTTATTTTTTTCCAAGCTACAGAATAATGTTTAGAATTTTTTTTTTTTCTGTTCTGTTCTGCATTCAGCATAATGTGTTAGTGGGGACATACTCAACTGGTTAATGTCAGGCGACTGACATCATGCAAATCTACGGCACTGAATGGGATATTTACTGTAGCTCCTCTTAATTCACCAAGACAAAACATTTCAATGTTAACAACTCCAGTCAGTTAAATGCAGAAGCCATGAGAGGCATACCAACTGTAACATCAGAGCATTTATTTTTTTTTATTTTTTTTTTTTTGGTTCTGTTCAGTAAAATCTCTAGAGTAAGGTAAGATAGGAAATACATTCATTCTGTTTGCACAAATTCTGATGTCAAGTGATACTTAACATGTACAGTGTTTATATTTTCCTTAACACTTTCCTAAGTAGATGACTGCAATTTTGTGTGTGTATATATATATATAAATTTGCTATGTATCCTACATTTAGCTCTCATATGGAGTGAAAAGTCTTCCTCTTTGGAGTAATCAATAGAATTATATTATTTGGACTGTTATCCTCATCTTTACAACGTTTTGGCCGTTGTACACTCTGGCCTTTTTCAGGTGATTGGAATTACCTCCTCATATATATATATATATATATATATATATATATATATATATACTTTAAAAATCAGGAGGTCAGGTGAATATGCTATCTTGTTTCCAACTTTACAGTATCCTCAGGCAACTTTTATCAAATGTACATTACTTTTTTTTAATCCAACCACATATGTGAGTAAGGCCTTAAGACTTCGGATTTTTGTGTAAAAGGTTCTTTGAGTTCAGAAATGTCATAATCGCTAATCATAATTGTTTTTTGTTTTTTTTTTCCTATTGGCAGATATTGCAAATATTGTTGTGATGCTTTGGCTTTTTTTTTTTTTTTTTTTTTTCTTTTTCCAATTTTCCACCTTACTCTATGGTTAAGGGTATGTAGATGACACCTTCTCACTGAAATGAAAAACCTGGTCAAAGACTGGTTATACTGTTAATTTCAATATAAGCTATATTAAATCTTGGTCTATATTTCTGAGATGAGGTATTGTAATTATCTGGACTGTTGTCCTCATCTTTTTTCCCATATTCCAATCACCTGAAGAAGGCTGGAGTGTACAATGGCTGAAACAATGTGAATAGGGCAACAAAGATGAGGACAGCAATGTAAATAGTCTACATATCAAGTTTGTCGATAATGCATTTACATGCATATTTGTAAAACTATGCTCTGCTACCAAGGATAACAGCAGATACTGAATCCAAAAGAAGGGGATAGCAACAATAATTTCTTGTTTAAAGTGGTAAAGCTTCACCAGGCACCTGATACAAAAACTGACAAAAGATAAACCAGCAAGGGTGCCAAGCTGCCTACTGCTGATTTTAATTGCAGTTAACTTCTATGTAGATATAGCAATTTTTACTGAGTGAGAGAGCAGCACACCAACAAATTGATGAAGCTAGGGTACAAATATATAAAGCCCATCATGACACCCAGTTTGAAATTGTGTATGTTAACAGCTCCAATCAGTTCTGTTCAGAAGCCATGAGAGGCATATGAGCTGTAGCACCAAGCCGTCATTATCATCATTATTATCCTCCCTGCCCCGTTTAGTAAAATCCTTATCGTATGGTAAAGTAGAAAATACATGCATTTTGTTTGTACAATTTCTGATGTTAAGTGTTTATATTTTCTTTGACAATACTCTCCTAAGTTTTAATTATTTTTATATTTATTTACTTATTTATTTATATAATTTTATTTTACTTTTTTATTTTTTTATTTTTATTTATTTATTTATTTTTTTTCAGGCCTGGGACTGGGCAACTGGCTTCAAATTGAATACCCTCTACAAGACAGGCTACCTGTGTGTTGGCACATCAGTGCTTCTTACAGTTCTTATTGTACACCTATGTTAATGGAAGTTTTAATTAATTTTTTAGGTAACTCACCTGGACTATTTTTTTTTTTCTATTGTCCAGTTTTATGCTTCTGATTATTTCTACTGTTGCCAGAAAACTAACTTGCCACTTGTCTACATAGATACCTGACTTTGGGGAGATATTTGTTTTCAGTTCTCTGGAAAAGAAATAAGTTTGTGACTTCTGGAGCATTGTAATATTTGCTTACTTTGCTTGCATGTAATGTTTCACTTTATCCTATGCAAAATAGAAGATGAGGTTCTGCCTACTTCAGATTAGACTAAAGTCTTTTGGGCTTCTTTGGAAGTATCTATAAGAAATGTTATGGAATAAGAGAAAGGACTCAAATAACCATTTCAATCCTGGTGACCATCTTGCTATGAAAATATGTGAATCCCCACTGTGTAAAAAAAAAAAAAAAAAAAAAATTTTTTTTTTTTTTTTTTTTTTAATTATTATACATGTAACTTAATGTACACACTTTTGACACTAAGCATTTACTTAAGCTTTTCCTTCAAGTCACTTACCCACCTTATTTTTATTTGTCATTTACTCACTTTTGAATGGCATTTTCTGCTGCACTAACAGGCAGATATTTAGGTCTAAAGTTAAATATCAGTGGATTAATGAAGAAAGGGAATTGGATGCGGAGTTACTTCCCTTGGTTCATCTTTTCAGACTGAAACGCAGACTACTTCATGTGACTCTACAGAGAATAATAATTTCATTGCAAAGATTTAATCTCTCAAAGTAAAGATTTGATCTCTGCAAAGTCACTTTTATTGGTTTTGGTGTCTTTATGTATACATAACATTTATTACTTTATATGAATACCATTCTAATTCTTTTCAGTTCTTTAGTTCACATAACCAGCAAAGTATTTAGCTGAGAAGTTAGATCTGTTTTATATAGAATTTTGTTGTTTTTGACTAATAACTAGCACTGCTTCTCTGCATTTTGTTTTTACCTTGCTCTGCACTGTGCAACATTTGGTGTTTAATTTTGATTGATGTTTTAATTCTTCATCACCTCCCGTATCCTTATTATTATCCTTATTAATTTTGATTTGTGATCACCTTCCATATCCAAAACATATTTGGTAAACATTGGTTCTAGTTTCTTTTTCTAGCTCCTTTTGGTGAAAGTGGCTCTGACAAATTTTCTGGCTTGCTAAGTGGAATGTGCCCATCTGGATGTGATGCTCTTTTATTTTCAGACTCTTCTGTTTTTAAAGAGTATCAATCTAGTTGGATGATTTATAGAAACAATTTGAGGCTCTTTTTCATTTTAATATTTAGTACAAATCTTTTGTATAAAGAAATAAAGACCAAGTTATCAATTATTTGTTTCGTGTTCCTGTTTTTTTTAAATTTTATTTCAGTTTCCTTTTATTTCATTTTTCCTTTTCACTCTTTTTGTCTTTTTCATTTGTTCCTCTATCTTTTCATCTCTTTTTTTTTTTTTTTTTTTTTTCCCCTTCTTCTTTTTAACACTGCTGAATATTAAAAATAATCTTAAACAATGGCTGAAGAAACCAAGCAATTCCTGGTTGACCCAATATAAAATGCAGTATTGGGCAAAGTGAATATGATTTCTAACATTAAAATTACCATTGTAGAATGGTGAATAAATCTTCTGACAGTAATAGAAGAAACTTTATCATTGCAGAGTTTCATACACTTCAACTGAGAGAGGCTGAAAAACTGACCACCATGTAATTGTTCCTGGTTGGGTTGCTTAGGAGAATGGGTCTGATATTTTAAGATGCTTGAAACTTTCAATGACAATTTAAGGAATAAATTCCTGCCTTAATAATAGCATGAATAACCTGGTATTAGAGTATGTAAATTCTAAAGCTTATTCATGCACAAAGTTTCAATATAAGAATCCTTTCCCTATCAGTCTGTGAGATAAATTTCTAACTTTATTTTATACCCATTGAAGATTAAATTCCCTGCAGTGAATGGTCTGAAAGACTGATTCTGTTTGCTATTTTACTGCATTAAACATGAGTTTCAGAACCATTTATTAACTTTAATTTGGTGGAAGGCCTCAGTTATGGGCTGCCAAGTGAGAACTAAACTTGTTACTGTGGGCAAAATCATTCAGGATCAGGCACAGGAAATGGAGCATAGAGTAAAACTCTACCCTGAGCTTTGTCTGGGGAAAACTATATTTGTATAACCCAAAAGTACTCCTCGCTAAGGAAATTAATTGCTTACATGTAACCATATTAATATTCATTTGATTCTACCATTTGCTAATATAGTATGCACTAGGCTCACCTCAGATGATACTAGAATAAACTTTGCATTCAGTGTCCTTCAAAATATCCAGGCGTATGGTTTACCCAAGCAATGGCCTCCTAGCTGAGGGTGGAGATGTGCGATTCACCTGATGTTAGTGGCTGCCCTGACATGTGCATACATGCAAACATGGGATAGAACTATGTCACAAATGGATATATAAACACTGACCCCAGAGAGATGTTGTACACGAGAATGCAGGGTCCATGTTTGACAGTAATTGATGAATTCTGGAGTGAAATAGAGTAATGTTGCTGCCGAATGATTGTGTTTTCAATTAGTCTGCATCCATGCAATATTGCACCAAGCTTCAATGTGAAAGCATAAACAAAGCATCATTTTAATTTTAATACAATTTATTCATCATTTGTTAATTACAGTCAAAAGTGTAAAGGTACAAATATATTGAAGTATTTTGTAGGAAGTACTCTAGAACACATAAATATGTGTGAAATTTGTTGAATCGAATTGTACACTTACTTTTTAATTCATAATATTAATATTTGTGTTTGACATTTGTTGAAAGTTAACCAACAATGAAAGAGCACAACAATTCGAATAAATTAATTTCCAAAAGCTCTGTCTTAATTCTCATATTATCTGGATTTTGTGTGTGCTTGTACAGTTAAGGTTCATAAATGTTAAAACGTGCATATAAATAATGATATACACACGTCACTTTATACAATATTAGACATACAGTCTTGTTTGGCAAACGTGCAAATAGCTTCCATTTAAATCCATTCATTCTGCCAATTTCGTTTTCTCTTTGGTCTCAACTGAAAAGACAAAAAAAATATGGTTACATGTAAGGAATTAATGGATTTTATTTTTAATCCAACATTATTTCTGATTACTATAAATGTTATATGTAGTAATTACACTAAAACAGGCATTCTGATTTTTTTTTTTTGTTTTTTTTTAAACCGTGGAATTGCCATCTACTGGCGTGGGCATTCCAGAATTTTAATAAAGCAGATAGGACTTTCAAGATTGGAACAGTAAGATGCAGGTCTGGACCCTACCAAAAGGCACATTTCCTTTATTAAAACTTTCGAATGTTTAAGTATTACAGAATAGGTAGGCTGACCCAGAATAGCAAACTACTGGTCAGAAGACCCCATGGACGATATTTTGACAGTGATGGTTTGCCTTTAAGGTTATATATATATATATATATATACATATATATATACATATATATATAAGACCAAAAAAGGTGCAAAGACACTCAGACGGTTGACTTCCTGCACCCTGATTTCCTAGTAGGGCAGACAAGGACGTGGTGATGATCTAGCCTCACCACTTCGCTTCCGCCTAGAAAAGATACTACAACTATTATCCCTCTTATAATAAAGTGGGATAAAGAAAGAAAATCATGCTTGCTGCAGTCAATGATATAGTGTTGGGGTCTGAAGAATTGAAGCTGATAGACGTCAATTACAGTTTAAAATCTAGGTATGTGGGCACCTCGTGGTGGTGTAATGATTAGCAAGCTTGCCTTGCTAGAACAGTTACGACTGAGTAGTGAGTTCGATCCTCACTGGGTGCCCTATACTTTCGGCCTTGTGCCACATTAGAGCTACGCTTGGAAAATTTCTAAAATCTAGGTATGTCGATTGAAATACGTGCATCTAACATTTATATTAATAAAAATTATGGTTATAGTTATTTTCTAAGCGTAGCTTAGGTGGGGCACCTAGTGAGGATCGTACTCACTTTTCAGTCGTATCTGATCTAGCTTGATATGCTTGCTAACCATTACACCACGCCGAGGTGCCCAAAGAATTATGGTTATATGTAAAGATATTACTCTTACGTGAATTTCTATACTAGGTTGAGTCAAAAGCTTTTCATATTCCAAGCTTTAACTAGCAGTTCAAACAAATTACATGCGAAAAGCGTTTAGTCATCAAAATATATCTGATCATATTTTATCGTCTGTTGTCATCGTTGTGCAAGAAGTCCAATTCCTCGCTTATAATATTTGGTTGGTTTAGAGGACACCCATCGACCAAAAAAATTCCCTGCACCTGTTTTCAACCTCATCTGTCCGCGTAAGAAATGAGCCATAGCTTGGAAAAGGTGATAATTTGATGTTGCAAGGTCTGGATTGTAGGCAGGTTTAGGCAGCATTTCAAGTACCCCAAGTTTGCGCTTGGTCAGTGTGTGCTGGGGCATTGTCCCGCTAAAGCAGTGCGCGTCTTCGACTGACCAAGGCCGAGTAATGGGTTTTTTAAAGCATCATATACTCACTTCATTTGTTGAGCATAAAGGTCAGCGTTCATTGCTTGGCCATCTGGGACAGTCTCAAAATGTAAGCACCACCTCGAAATTCCACCAAACACATTAACTTCAGTTAAAAGACCGCCCTTGTTTGACAAGATGACTGAAAAGGAATCCGCCCTTGTTTGAAAGCTGGCTGGAAGGAAGCCACTGATTTCTCTTATTAGGATTATAGAAATAGATCCATTTTTCACCCCGGTTACAATTTTACGCCAAAATAGGCATCTTGAGGATTTGCCAGCAGTTGTTTGCAAATGTTCACATGTTGAGCCTGGTCATTCGTCATTTCGCGATGAACTTTTCGCCAGCGTCTGTTCCCAAGGCCGAGCGTAGGGAGTTGATAAATGATGGTGCTTTGTGAAGGACCAAGTTCTGCCGACTATGTACGAGTGCTTGTGCTTGGCTGTTGTTCAGCTATTTTCAAGTATAGGCCTTATTTTCCATATTGTTGATAGTTCCTGGGCCGTCCACATCATTAATTTCTTTCGACGCTGCCCGTGCACTCAGTACTTTTTTTCCACAGGTAGCGTAAAATGGCTCTAATTGTAATTTTTTCACCCTTCATTATCAATGTTGTAAAATAAAGAATAAATAATTTTTATATGTTATATATAAAAATAAAGAATAAACAATTCAGCAACGAATGGACCAGAAGTTGTATCAAATTAATGATATAACATGGGGGTTCAAGTTGCTAAGAATAATCTGAAAATCCGAAAAAAACTTAATTCAATCTGGTATTTTAAATAATGCCTTTATAATATTACTAGCAGGGATACCCGGCGTTGCTCGTAAGATCTTTGAACAATAGTTTATTATTAGCAATTTATTGATATTTTTCAGCCATCTTATGGAATACAGTGTAACCCGGATATAAGAGACCCGGATATAAGAGAGAGATTTTCTCTGGTCCCAAAGTGTTCCCATACTTACCTAAACAAAACAGACCAAACCCGGATATAAGAGAAACCCGGATATAAGAGACTTCTTTCCCGGTCCCGACAACTCACTTATATCCGGGTTACACTGTATAATTTTTTATTCAATCTATAAAAAATAAACTTCGTTGTTTTTTTGGTTTGTTACAAAATAACTAAATCTTGGAAAATACCAAACTACAATTACCATGGTCGGGGGTGGGCATAAGGGGCTGAGCATTGCCATATTTTTATTCAAAAAGACACTTTATTTTTCGATTTAAATACTAACATAAGTATTCTGTTAATGTTGTTTTCAAACAAATCAATTTTAGATAAAAGTTCATTAGTGTTTTTTAAAAAGTAAATAAACTTAAATTAAGATATATTTAAACATATTTAAATTTAATCAATTTTTCAAGCAACAATTAGCGAGCCTTATTTTTTTGAAAAATAATTATTTACTATTTATTTTGGTGGGAAATTTAGATTCTTTAAATAAAATTTTACTTTTAGTTTTAAATATTACATTAAAGAATCAAATATTTCTCCGTAAATTAATTTAATTAAAATTTTGAAAGAAAGTAGAAGCAAGATACATTGAGAATTTAGTTTTGAAAAGCAATTATGTTTAAATTTCAAGTTAGAGTTTTATTTGAAAAGAAAAAAAAAACTTTAGTTAAATAAAAATTAGACAAACATGATTTACGGTCAACATAAGTCATACTGAATATTTGTTTTACGATTTTAAAATTTTTCGAAAAAAATCGCCATAGATTTTTGCTTTAATAAAACTTAATTTAAAATTATTTACTTTTTTTTATGTTAGCTACGAACCAAAAAACATGAAATTTATTTTTTAAAGATTGAATAAAAAAAAATACTTTCCATAAGATGGCCGAAAATATTAAAAAGTCAATAATACACATACAAGTCCTGGTATGGAGGTCTGTTACTGTGGAATTTACCAACGTAGGGGTTTATTTGTTTACAGATGGTTATCTTTGGATAACGTCCTTAATCAAAATATACACCAATTTATGGCCTTTTAAAATGCATGAAAAGGTAATTAATATAAAGATATATATTGCATGTACTGATAAGAATTTAATATCTCTCAAAATTATATTATAATAATATTCAAAGAGTTCATAAGTTCCTATCAGAATGTTCTCGTGTTGAAAGTCTTTAAGTCCTTTGCATATATATATATATAGAGAGAGAGAGAGGAGAGTCTTTGTTAATGTACAGGGTGACCCCAAAAAACGGGTATTTGTGAAGTGCGTATTGCCAGACATGAGCAAGTGGCAACACTGCGAGAGAGTGACCTTGAGCAAGTAAACATTTCGCCATTTACAATTCAAGATGAAATTCACATTATCCCAGCTGAAATGTTGCAGCAGTCAATGAGGAATCTCAACAGCAGATTTCAAGAATGCATTCGTACAGGAGAACGCCATCTACAGGACGTAACTTAAAAAAAAAATGAAAATCCCATCATTGTTTCTTAAATGGCATGTTTTACGGTTTCAATTACTATGAATAAAATATTTTTCTTCCATCACTATTGATTTTATTGAGGTGTTAAAAAGTTCCCGTTTTTTGGGGTCACCCTATATAGGTATATGTAAGTATTTCTTGATAGCAGTAAATATTTTGACTCTCTGTGGTATTTTTAGGTGTCCGAAGCTTGAAGGTAAGGGAAAGCAGACGAAATGCTTTTTCAGCGGCTGGTCTATTCCGTTTGCCTGCCCGTCCATATCTGTCTTTAACACTATATTTTTATAGACAACAGAATTAATTCTCGAATTGTTCTTGATTTTGATTGGTTCCAGATTTATTTTGTTGTGAATTATTGTAGTTTTTAGTTTTAGCCGGGCACACGCATACTCGAATATTTGATTAAATTAATATTAAACTTTATCAAATCATTGCATTTAATATTCTTTTAAATTTACTTTGTTGTTTTAATATTCATTTTTTTTTTTAAGTTACGCTTTTATTTACTATAGATGTGAAAATAAATTCAAGTGAATAGAAATTTTAAAAATACAGACAAACCTCTTATCAACGGACTAATAAAGGAAGGGAGGGGTGGTCTGTTAAAGCCGATTGTCCGTAGATGGATGAACACAGACACTCGAATATTTGAATAAATAAATATTAAACTTTTTGTTAAATAATTGTATTTAATATTCTTTCTTATTTCAAATTTACTTGTTTTAATATTCATTTTTAAAGTTACGCTTTTATTTACTATAGATGTGAAAATAAATTTAAGAGAATAGAAACTTTAAAAAATACATGTATATAGCCTTTCCAAAGTATCAACATAATTAAAAAGTAAAAACGAACGGTAATCTTAATAGGGAATAAGCATTATTACCGTTCATTTTTACTTTTTAATTCTGTGAATTTCGAATGCATTCTAAAGCATTTTAATTTTAAAATATCTTCGTAAATACAAATCATATAATGTTAATTTTTTTTACAAAATGCTGGCTTGGGTGATAATGAGTCTGGATATATATTTACTTTGTCATTAATTTATGTAGTTTTTAGGTTTAGCCGGGCACACACAAACACATATATAGACAACAGCCCTTTATCTATGTATATATTACACACATCTTTGTATGCATAAACATTACTCTTGTCTACATAGAAGCTGAATTAGCCGTTCATTTCGATCTTCAGCTCAAAAGAGCTAAAGTCAGTAATGGTTCCTGACTGAGAAGGTTGTATAATAATATTCATTTGGAAAAGCAATGGAGGTAAGAAAAAGAGCCGAGCGTGACGAAGGAAAGGTAAGAAGGATGGAGGTAAGAAAAAGAGGTGAGCGTGACAAAGAAAAGGTAAGAAGGATGGAGGCATAAAAATATTCATTAAGAAAGGCGATGGAGGCAAGAAAAGAGGTGAGCGTAACGAAGGAAAGGTAAGAAGGATGGAGGTATAATAATATTTATTCGTAAAAGCGATGGAGGTAAGAAAAAGAGGTGAGCATGACAAAGGAAAGGTAAGATGGAGGTATGATAAAATTCATTTGGAAAAACGATGGAGGCAAGAAAAAGAGGTGCGCGTGACAAAGGAAAGGTAAGAAGGATGGAGGTAAAATATTCATTCGTAAAAGCGATGGAGGTAAGAAAAAGAGGTGAGCGTGACGAAGGAAAGGTAAGAAGGATGGAGGTAAGAAAAAGAGATGAGTGGGACAAAGGAAAGGTAAGAAGGATGGAGTTATAATAATATTCATTCGGAAAAAGCGATGGAGGCAAGAAAAGAGGTGAGTGGGACAAAGGAAAGGTAAGAAGGATGGAGGTAAGAAAAAGAGGTGCGCGTGACAAAGGAAAGGTAAGAAGGATGGCGTTAAAATAATATTCATTCGCAAAAACGATGGAAGCAAGAAAAAGTGGTGAGCGTGACAAAGGAAAGGTAAGATGGATGGAGGTAAGAAAAAGAGATGAGTGGGACAAAGGAAAGGAAAGAAGGATGGAGGTATAATAATATTCATTCGTAAAAGCGATGGTGGTAAGAAAAGAAGCCGAGCGTGACGAAGCAAAGGTAAGAAGGATGGCGGTATAATGATATTCATTTTGAAAAACGATGGAGGCATGAAAAAGAGGTGAGCGTGACGAAGGAAAGGTAAGAAGGATGGAGGTATAATAATATTCATTCGTAAAAGCGATGGAAGCAAGAAAAAGAGGTGAGCGTGACAAAGGAAAGGTAAGAAGGATGGAGGTAAGAAAAAGAGGTGAGCGTGACAAAGGAAAAGTAAGATAGATGGAGGTATAATTATATTCATTCGGAAAAACGATGGAGGCAAGAAAAAGAGGTGAGCGTGACGAAGGAAAGATAAGAAGGATGGAGGTATAATAATATTCATCCAGAAAAGCGATGGAGGCAAGAAAAGAGGTGAGCGTGACGAAGGAAAGGTAAGAAGGATGGAGGTAAAAAAAAGAGGTGAGTGGGACAAATGAAAGGTAAGAATGATGGAGGTATAATAATATTCATTCGGAAAAACGATAGAAGCAAGAAAAAGAGGTGAGCGTGACGAAGGAAAGGTAAGAAGGATGGAGGTATAATAATATTCATTCGGAAAAAGCGATGGAGGCAAGAAAAAGAGGTGAGCGTGACAAAGTAAAGGTAAGAAGGATGGAGGTATAATAATATTCATTCGGAAAAAGCGATGGAGGCAAGAAAAGAGGTGCGCGTGACGAAGGAAAGGTAAGAAGGATGGAGGTAAGAAAAAGAGGTGAGTGGGACAAAGGAAGGATGGAGGTATAATATTCATTTGTAAAAGCGATGGTGGTAAGAAAAAGAGATGAGTGTGACAAAGGAAATTTAAAAAGGATGGAGGTAAGAAAAAGAGTGAGCGTGACAAATCTTTCTACTAGACTGATTGCTGCTAGATGAACACTAATGGGCATGTCCTAATCCTCATAAATACGTTGGACACTGTTGTAAGTGGGGGTAATATGTTCTCTAAGTAGCTCACAACTAGCAGTGGTTTACCTACCTCACGCTGCTGGCGAGTATTGTATTTTGTTGATATTATAAAGATTACCATTTCATTTCTAACATCCGTTTTGGTTATTTTTCATTGAGTAACATTTCCTAGGTTACAACAATTGCCAAACATGTCTAGAGGGCACATTTTGCGCTGCTATTTAACGCATAGTTGGAGGATAGAGAGATTCATATCTGTTGGAAAAGGTATGGATACTTTTCTCTTCCATCGGTATTTGTGCCAAAGTGGAAGAATCAAACTTAAAAATCCGAACTCAGGTCGCCGATTTCTCGTTCCTCGCAGCCAACACTTACATCACTTACATATCCAAATAGTGACGTGTGATTTAAAAGAAAGGAGATTGGTGTTCCTTTAGCATACATCGTATATGTATTTTATTAAAAAACTTAGCTGATTTTGGCGCATGATAGCAAACGGTTTATTTCAAATTTGCTATTTTATACTTGACACATATTTCCTTGTTTTGCCATTTTGGTAGACACTTCGAAATAAAGACCCATCTTATCTTTACATAATGTTATGATACGGTGGAGTAATGGATATTTTAAAAGCAGAGTAAAGATTAGCGATTCGGGTAGACAAATCGGCGAGCAGTTCTCATTGTCTTTCCTTTCACACAAAAAACCCTAGGAAGAGTACGAATCAATCTCTTTACTTTTAAACAAATACCCTTAGGAAGGGTACGAATAAATCTCTTTCCTTTCACGCAAAAACCCTTAGGTAAGGTACGAATCAATCACTTTCCTTTCACATGAAAACCCTTAAGAAAGGTACGAATCAAACTCTCCCTTCTTTCACATAAAAAACCATTAGGAAGGGTACGAATATATCGCTTTTCTTCTCAGCTATGGGCTAAATAAACTTGGTAGAGTAACCGGTTTAGGTGAAGGAAGACCCCGAGCTCAAATCCTATGCACAACACTGTTGCTATGGTTGCAGAACATTTTGTGCCCTTACGACTCTAATGTTCTACGGGACACTTGACGTAACAGTACAGAATCGAAATGAGAAGATTGGAAGACTGTTTTATCATTTTTTCCTAAACAAAAAATAGCCTGTTCACATATTCTGACCATTACCTGGTCTTAAATACCTAACTACTATCACAGTTGGAATGTGTGTTAAGTTTGCCACAAAACCACAATAGTAGAGAACAAACCTACAGCTTCGTAGCAAGGTTCATCAAATTGATTATATATTCTACGTTAGTTTGGAACAAGGTCATAAGTGTTCAGTGCCCGGTAAGAATCAAACTCATTAGCTCCAAGAAGTGATTCATTATTGATATTTAGGAAGCAAATCTTAGTCTAACACCAGGCCAAAAGTATCCGTTAACCAGTTAGAATTAATAGCAATGGTTAGGAACACTAGCGCACCAAGTACTACTCTACGGTGGAGCACTCGATTTTTCTGTTGGAGTAGAAGTGAATAAAACAAATTCAAATATGGGGATATAGAAAGGGATGATGGAAAAAGATTGAGAGAGAGCTTGTCTACCTTATTTAAAGTCTTGATGATTTAACTAGGTTCGAGGCTGTAACAAACAGACATCATTCTAAAGCATCAAAAGGATTTTTCTTCTTCACAGCAACATATGACCACAACAATGAAGTTCCTCGTCTCATCTATTAGAAACTGACTTCTAAGATCTATGAAGGAACTATGACATCTTACACGTCTCATGAGGATCCCAATACGGAAACATTTCAAACCCCATCAAAGAGTACAATGAGGAAATGAGAGCTCCAGTTTATTTAATATTTTCCTATTCAAAATGTTGACATTCCACACTACTTCAAATAAAAGGCTACGAAGAAAACCACCACTAATACTGGAAAAAGCGGTAACAGCTTTTAAGAAATCAGTTTTTTTTCTGAAAAGGTTAAGAAGGTAGCCTCCATCAATATTGGAAATAGTGATAACAGCTACTGCCTTTGAGAAACCTATTTTTCCTGGAAAGGTTTTGAAGGTGGCCTCCATCAATACTGGAAAGAACGATAACAGCTACTGCCTTTGAGAAATCATTTTTTCTGAAAAGGTTATGAAGGTAGCCTCCATCAATACTGGAAATAGTCATAACAGCTACTGTATTTGAGAAACCTATTTTTCCTGAAAATGTTTTGAAGTTAGCCTCCATCAATACTGGAACGAGCGATAACGGCTACTGAAACCTATTTTTCCTGAAAAATTGTTTTAGGAGAAAGATTTTATAAGTTTCAACCGACAGTTGTACAATTTGCTCGGTCAATGAAAGGAAACGTTTAAAATTACCATTAACATTTCCTCATCCGCACTCGCCCACCCACTCTTCACACACACACGCATATTTATTATTATTATTGTGTACTCACGGGAAGCTTCACGTTCAGTTTTGAACCCAAAGGCGCCATATAAGCAGCTCGGATCACCATTCCCATTCTGGCGAGCTTTCCACATTTGTCGAAGTCATCATACTGGAGGTAGCATTGGACAATGGCCGTCAAAACACTGAGAAAGCAAATGAAGAAGAAAAGAAAATAATTTAAATGCTGCAACAAAATATTTCAAATTGAATTTTGAATTCTTCCTTGCTGAAGTGGTCGACATCGCTCCGTCACTTCCGTAGTGTTATACATGAATAGAATTTGTTCTCAAACAGGACTATCAAGCGGCAGGGTGGTGGGGGGCTTGTCAGATGCAGACTTCACGTGAAGTTAGTCCAGGTCGTCAAATGTAGAATAACGTGACCTCACAGCTGAGCGCTGGTTTTGTAAGCGTGTGAACAATCTGCCACACACACACACACACACACACACACACACACACACACACACACACACACACATATATATATATATATATATATATATATATATATCCAAGTATAATATTGGTGTATACGGAATAAATTCCAACAAGTAAAAATACTATTCTTAAAAGAGTGCTCAATACAGAGTAGAGCAAATATAATTTATATATATATATATATATATATATACTTTATTATAGGATATTACATGTAAATAAACGCTACATAATCTAAATAATGTTTATGTGGCGTTTATTTACAGGGTTGAATGTAATATCCTGTAATAAAGAATAATCCTCTATTATTGGATTGTATTGAACCCTACTTTAAATTAATGTTATGAAAGTTTGAATTGATTCGTTCGCATTTCATATATATATATATATATATATATATATATATATATATATATATATATATGTGTTTTGAATGTAATATCCTATAATAAAGAATATTGCTCTATTATTGGATTGGATTGAGCTCTCTTTTAAATTAGGGTTATGAACGTTGAATTTATATTCGATTCATTCTCATTTCATATATATATATATATATATATATATATATATATAAAATTCATGAATCATTCATACAATAAAACACATAGAGAGGTTAATGCAACTGGAATTTATAAACAGGGATCATATCATTCATATACAGGTTCGTGGTTGGTGTATCTTTTTTGATATTGTTTGCGAAGATGTATTCTCGCCATTTAAATCATTAACCTTTCTATTTGTTTTATTGTATGAATGATTCATGAATTTATAAACTATAATTGCACCTATAATTTGAAATATATATATATATATATATATATATATATATATATATGTGTGTGTGTGTGTGTGTGTGTGTGTGTGTGTGTGTGTGATTTTATTGAATACAAGAAAGTAAGCTCCACATTCAGATGAGGGCTACGAAGGGTCGCACCAAATACTGGCCTAGAGTAACTGACGAAGCATTGGAATAATCTAAAATGTAATGTTAAATACAAAGCATTCAAGTCTTTTGCTATTCATTAGTCTGCACCCGTTATCTCTTCGTCCAGAACATCTTCGTTACACTTCTATGAACAAGAAAAAGAGCAAAGTAATGATATCACTATCTATTGAACCCAGAAAGAAAACGAAATATTTTTTGTCTGTCTTGAGGGTCAGGGCTTTTCCCCAACTGGCATCAGGGAGAAAATAATCCCATATTTAGAATACAGATTTTCAAAGCAACCACTTTATTTAGATGATTGAGCAATGCTGCGGTAATCTTCCAGATAGACAGCACCTAATTAAAACAAGTCAGTATTCCAGATTTTCTTTTATTACCTGACCCAGAGATCGATCTCAAAATAGCTATATCCACTTCCACGCGTTTTACCCATTATGTTATTATGGAAAAGCTAAAGTGGCCTCACAAAGGACTGGTACGTGTCATGTTCCTTTGCATAGACTGCGGGATAAAAATAATTTATCTCCTAGAATTGAATAAAAGATTAAGTTCGAAATTTCGAGATAGTTACCAGATAGGAAATACACCTAAAAAAGGCCGGAGGGTAATGGGATCAATATACTGAGACGAACAATCAAGATGAGAACGTAAGTCTTTAGAGAAGATGAACACATACCGACAAAGAACACGAATTTAGGGGACTTACCTGCCCCTTTCTGGAGGTTCATAGAGAGGCACCAGGCAATGTTCGTGGTAATTCATCCAGTGACGGACACACATTATGTCAACTTCCTGTTCAGGGACTAGGGCTTAAAAAAATGAAAAAAGAAGAAATATTATTAATAATAGTAAAGTGGAAAAAAGTACAATAAAGCTTCATACATAAAATGCAATCTAAGTCTGCTTCTATCTATCTATCTATCTATCTATCTATCTATCTATCTATCTATCTATCTATCTCATTCTGATCATATCTATCTCAATTTGTTCATATCTAAGTCTGTTCATATCTATCTATCTATCTATCTAT